TCTCACCTCTTTTTTCACCTGTTTTTCACCCTGTTGAATTCATTGCTTTATAACTCTCTTCCTTTCTCCAACTCTTCTAACTTCTTCTTAAGTTCAGCAATGTTGTCCTCATGAAGTTTAATCTTTCTCAAAATTCCTTCTTTATCTAATGGTTGCTTTATCTTTCTAAACTGAACTCTACCATCCTTCATAGTATGAATGTAAAAACCTTCTGGAATAATTCCTGATTTAATGTATTCTACCAAAAACTTTTGTTTCATTGCTTCAGTGACTTTAGTCGTCATTTCAATCAAATAAAAATTTTAATATTAAATAAAAATAACGTTATTTTTTCAGTAAGGAAACGCAGGAGTTTTACGATTTATTTGTGGTGTAGGTTCTGGTTTAAATGTTGGAGTCGGTTTTGGAGTTGACTTTTGAACAGGAGTTTGTAATTCCATAGGTTCAGGAGTCATTGAAGGTGTTGTTTGTGAAGGCGTTGGTTTTGGCGATGGTGTCGGAGTTTGTTTAACTTCAGCTACTTCAGTATTATTTACAACATTTGCTTTATTTCTTTTCAACATCATTACTGCTCCTGCTGTAGCTAGCAAACCTAGTGGGAGACCATATTTTATATAAGGACTTGACCAAATGCTATTTTTGACAGGAGCTGGTGGAACACCTAACCTTGGTGAGACTGCTCTTTGCCATTGTGCAGCTCGTAAGAAATATTCAATAGGTGCTCCATAATCGTTTGGTAAAGTTTGTTTCATAGATGGTGAAGGTTCACGAGAGCTTGATGAAGAACTCATTTATAAGCTTTAAAAATAAACGTTCATCCTTTATTCCTCACTGTCGTCCGTAGCTAAGTTATAGTCATCTAATCTTATTATGGGATTCCATTAGCACGCACCTGAATGGCAAAGCAACAATCCCTCATAAATCCAATAAGTGGCTTTGGTACGTTTTCAGTTGCTAGTTCAATAGGTCCTTTAACAGACAATTTGTATGTTATTGGAGCAGTAGATGTTTGACCTTGCTGGAAGCAAAAGTCCACTTCTGTTGGAAAACCACATAAGAAATGTGTGTTGTCATAGCTATCCCATTTATGTTCCACACTACCATCATCCACCAATGACCTCATAACATCTTCATTAAATCCAATCATATCATTGTTTGTATTGCAAGCGTTCGCAACCATTTCATAAAATACAGGTCCATATGATTTTTCAGGTTCTGCAGGCATATTTCCATAAGCTCCCATGGAAAGCTGAAGATATTTAAACTTAGGGTTCTCAAAATTAACATAATAGTTGTCTTTCTTTCTAAATAGTGCCCAAATACTTTTAACATTAATAGGCGTATAAGCTGCTGTAAATGTTGCACTTGAACTATCTGTATTCTTTGAGAATGAACCGTCCATAGGAATCCAATCCATAACTTTAACAGGAAAACATAAAGCCTCGTTTGTATAATGTTCTACAAGTTCTGTATAAATGTTAGGGTCTAAAGAGAATGACTTTGGATGAATGAAACATTCATTAAAATCCATCTTTGTTCGAAATAGTTGCTGGGTTACAGTTGTAATAGTAACTGTTCCACTAGCTTCTATTGCCTTCGTTATCATAGTGAATGGTTCATTCCATGGAACAAATTTATTTGTCGGTGGATTTGAATCTGAAGCAAATGCAACTTTAAGAGTTGGATTGAAAGCAATGATATCATTTACAGATATAGATGTGCATTGTAAATGCGTCGCTACTGAACTTTACTTTAAGCTGAATGTTACCAGCAAATGCAGGAATAAATCTTATAGCTTCTAATGTAAAACTTTCTAACAGGAATTCTTAAACGAAGCTTAAAATCAAATGATTTTCCTGCTGTAATTGGACCACTAACAATTTGTCCTGTTCTGCATGTTCCCGAACGACTCCATACATCTTCATGTCGAGTCTTTGAGAAAACATCTACTTTCTTTATTTGTTCGGTAGTTTGTGAGTTTGAAGTTATATATGCTTCTTCTCGTGCGTTGTCTTGAAATATACGATACGACCATTTGCAAGGATTTGATATCCAGCCAGCAACTGCCATAGAAAAGCGTCATCGAAACCAATCCAAAATCCTGGTGGTTTGTTTTATTGGAACCTGAACCAATTTCTTTATCTGCAATAAATTGACCTTCCATTTTATACGTAATGAATGTATTGTAAAGGTCCAACATATTTTCACCAGGAGGTGAGAGATTGAATGTTACCCATGTGTTATCTTTAGCAGTTCCAGGTTGTGATGGAATCTTTGCGTCAGAATATTTTCTATTAGTGTCACCAATTTGAACTGCATTGTCTATGATATCGAAATATGAGCGAATCTGATGAATATGCTCTGCTGGAGTAAATTCGTTTAACTGTTCGTTCTGCATGTATTTACTTCGGATAAAAATATCTATTTACTTCATTATTCTCACTCTTCTTCTTGGCATTCGTGGTGGAAGTTGTTTCTTGACATTTTCAATGAACTGTACATTCTCTTTTGTCTCAACTTCTTTCACTGGTGGGTCAGGGTTCTTTGACTCGGTTTGCTTTTCAATGAAATTCACGAACTTTGCAATAAGCTCTTGGTTCGTTATTGAAAGAACATCTGGCTTCTTTTCTTCTTGTTCTATTGACTTTTCAGTTTGAATAGAAGGTTTTATATGGGCTTCACCCTCGGTGCCATGCACCTTAATGTTGTCGCTCTCTGCATTCGCTAATGGAACCTTTCTTTTTCTTACGTATATTTTACCATCTTTACTCTGACTTACATAATAGAAAGGATGTTGTATTCCTCTTGCGTCATTTAATATAATAGACTCTCGCTCTGATTTTGACAAGCTCATTTTACATCGGTTAAAGTTTTAATTTTGTTTTTTTATCTGCAGTCAAATGACTCAGACAAGTCATATGGACAAGACCCAAGGGGTCATAGATGTTGAAGCATTGAAGAAAGAAATTCGCGAGCAAATTTTATCCGAACTGAAGGAACAAAAACAAGAACAAAAGCCAGAGAGACCAAAGAGAAAACTTAGTGAAAAACAACTAGCTGCATTAGCTGCTGGAAGACAGAAGAACCCACGTTTGCTGGCGAAGAAAGCTAGAGAAGAAGCTGAAGCAAAAGCTAAAGAAGCTGAAGCAAAGAAAGAGTAAATGGTTTATTTTTATCCGAATTAAATGTATAGACAAATACCTTTATCTGTTGCGTTCAGTAGTGAAAACCCTGACGTCAAAATAAAGGGGAACAGAGTAACGTTTAAGTTTCCAACAGACTGGATTGTGAACATAAATGAAGAGAAGTACATTGGCATAACATCTATGTATATAACACGTGCATTTAGGAAAGTTGACTTTATACTTCAAGTCGAGATAGAAAATGACGAACAGTCTTTAAGTGTCCAAAACATTCACATATACAAATACTTTAAAGACGATACAACATTGTTGCAATGTATGATTTCATTTAATGAAATGTTCGAGAAAAAGTTTAACATTGAAGTACAAACTTTACAGCCTTTACGTGAGTTTCTTGCACAACTGAAAGAAGAAGGTAGTCAGCCACAACTTATAGACTTTCATTATGAATTTAATGAAAATGAAGATGGAACACATGACTGTCAGTTTGTTATATATTCACCATTCAATGAAGTAGCTAAAGAGAAAGAAAATCCATTACGTATAAGATTTCAAATCTCTGAACCAAGTGATGATTTCAAGAATGTTTTCAATTATGATGCAATGCTTCCGAGGAAAAATGAATTTTCAAAGATTGTAACACCTGGCATTTGGGATAGAAAGCAAGCTATTCTTTTCTCTAATATAGCCAAAGGCGTTGAAAATGAGTTCATTGGTCATACAAGAACTTCACCACTTCCTAACCCTAAATACTATAAATTAACTGGCTTCAATCGTGAGTTTTGGATAGACATGTTCTCCACTCATGACCATAACTGCCCAGTGTTCTTACCTCCAGACCATAAGGACTGTCTCTACATTGAAGCACAACTCTTAAACTCTACCATCGCAGTATTGTAAATGACCACATGGGCTTCGCCCTTGCCGCTAGCGGCTTATTTTTATCATGAATGGTCTCACTGCTGACAAAAATAAATGACCTCAGAACTTCAACTTACGAATAAAGCTTGTTTTAGTCGTTATTGAGAAGTTAAACTTTTCAGCAAAGCAAGGACTAGAAGACTTACATAAGTCAAATCCAATCTCTTGACCGTCATAAAGTGCTTTATATAACTGCATAACACTGAACTCAGAGTCTTTGTCAAATTTTCCTTGCGGAACCATTAAACCTTTATCTTCATCATAGAAACACTGAACAGAGTCAGGAAACATTTCATTAGCGGTTAAAGCAATAACATCTTGCTTCACGCCTTTCATTCTGCAGTGAAATGCAACTTCATTTAAATCGTTAGTGAGTAAGTCTATGTAGGTCTTCTTTCCACAAAATATTGACTTGTATGCTAAACTTTGTTTTCCAGGTGTTATTTCTGCGAAGTCGCTATGAAATTGACCTAATGTTTTACCAATAAGTTCTCTACCGTATCTCTTCTTAAATTCATGAGCTAAACGTGGTATGTCTTCATTGTAAATGTGCATCGAATCTGTATCCTGATAAAATGCTTTTAATCCTAAGTCTTCAATCGTGCAAAACACTTCATTCATAATACGTTTTGACATTGATAGAATATTTACACCAAGTGGACAGAAGTTAAAGTGTCTGCAAATGCTTTTCGTTAGCTTGAAAATAGTTTTATCTGAACCATCCAAACCTTCGAACTTCACTATATGGTTGTAGTTTCTGATGGCATATCTTATAGCATCTTTGTCATCTACTATGGTTATTTTTGACTCAATAGGAGATAAAATGTTTTGCCATAAATGCTGTTCAGAATGAGTTTTATAATTTCTTGTAATGGGTTTCTTCTTTCTTATACTTTAACCTTAACTCAAACAACTTCTTTACTTCATCTCTTATTCTAATATCTCTGTTTCCATCGTAATAGTATCCTTGCAACACTTCACATTTGACACCTTGATATTTTATGAGGTCTTGTAATGTTATATGGTCAACATACATTAAACAGCAAGTGTTTGAACTTCTGGGAACGTTAAGTTCTGGATTTAGTTCAGGGTCACAAACTATTAAAGGAAAGTGTCTATGTATTCCAATCTCTGTTATCTTAATGAGAACAAAGAAGCCAGACATAAACTTTTCACCAATGGGTTCCTTTTGGTCGTCATCGAATAAATGTCTCATGAGATACTCTGTGCTTAACATCTCATCCTTCAATACTTTTGGAATTCCTTCTAAAGTATAAAGTCTTGCTATAGCTGATGGATATAATGAAACAGCGTCGAAGTCAGCAATGAGTTTCTTTTCGCTCTTTTGTTTCATGTTATCTGACAACATACATCTTCCACCTTGAATGCATCTCGAAATAAATTCTCTTGGTTTATTTGAGAGGTCATAAAGATTTCCATTCGGGAAGTACACTCTGTTCTCAAATAATTTGTTAGCAATTGAACAAATACTAACGTAGTCATAAACGTTTAAATCAAACTCTTTCAATAAGTCATTGCGGAACTTTACAAAACCTTCTCTTAAAATTCTTACATCTTGTTTGCAGTAAAACGTGCTATATTTTTCTAAGTCGAAGTGGTTCTCATCTATTCTGCAACCTTTGATGGAATCTATGTTCTTCATAAATGTATCTGCATCCTTGACAAACTTACATGCTTCAGAAATGACACCAGTTCTGTTGTCATTTGCTAACAAAGTACTGCTGTAGTAGTTGTATGGAAATACTTCTTTCGGTCCTGTTTGTAAGTTAAACATAGCAGGAAATAGTTTAAGCTTCTTATTTATAACACTGTAAGAGTCTTTTATAATAATTGCCCGTCCTTTATATAAACCAGTTATTTGCATTGTTCGTGAACCTTTAATGATGGGAGTTCCTTTCACTTCTGTCATGTGTCTTAAGATGAAGTTTATGTCATAGCTGAGGTTATGGAAATATATTAAACTCTTGTCAGGAAGTCGTTCCAAAAATTCTGTTGCACAGTTCTGACCCCAAATGCTTTCACTCACTGAACCATCTTCACTGTCGTAACATATGTTAAAAGCTTTATGAAAGCCATCGGTACTACACTCAAAGTCAGCAAAGAAAACGTGCTCAGGAATGAACTTGCACTTATTTTTATTTACTTCTTTTGACTCTGCTTTCTTCTTCAGTTGTACACAATACTTTGGAGCATATGTCAAATCTTTAAATGGTGCAAGGTTCTGTTTATATAAGTCAGTCGTATATGTGAAAAGTTCTCCATAAGAAATAGGTTCGAAATATTTGCACTCCCACAATGTTTTCATAACATCCCATAGCGGTGTAGTTCTATCATAACGAACTACATATTTGTTCTCTCTCTTGTATATATTTTCATCTGTTTTTCAATGTTCATTCCACCACACTCCTTCAAGATTTCTTTGTAATTTCTGACGAAGTATGTTGTCATTGGAAGTCTTTCGTTTAGCATGTAGTGGTCTTCAACAAGAAGTAGGTCAATAGTTCGAACAGTTTCACATTCTTTTGGTATGTATCTCTTTATTTCATTATATCTTGAGTCATTGAAGTAACCAATGGTAACATTAAATGCTATACCTGTTGCGTCAGAAATTTCTTGTACTTTACTTTGAGGAAAGTCTCTAACACGAATGACTTCTCTCATGTGGTCAATAGTTTCTTCATTTACTCCAGCCTGAATGCAAGCATAAACGAAACAATTGTCTTCTGTCATAAGTGTTGCAGTTCTTTTGTTCAGTTCATTGAAGATTTGGTAGCGTTCAAGATTTATAGGTAATGTGCAAAGATACTTCCAGAACTGACCGCTTCTCTTCTTATAAAACTTCTTTTCACCATTATCTTTCCAAAAGCTTTCTATAAGTGCTGGGTTTCCTGTTTGCTTAAGAGCTTCCAAAATGGCTTTCTGGTCATTTGTCAGTGTGCTTTCATCTCTATATGGTCTCTTTTTTGGTTTGCCTTTCTTTACATCTGACATCGTTAAGCCTTCATATTCTGTTAAATCATACATCTTTATTTCAGTAAGATTCTTTATGTTTGTCAAGAAGAAGTCATAGTGCATTTCAACAATACCTGCGGCATTTGCTTCTATCTCTGATATAAAGTTCTCCTTCAAGAGCTGATGTAGTAATGTTCCAATATTATTGAGGTTTAACGTAGAACATTCATACTTTCCACCAAGTTTATAACATACCATCCATCTTTGTTGGGAGTTTATTTTAATCTTCTCTAAGAGTCTCATGAAAACCTTACCGAAATGTTTGTGTAAGTAGTCTCTGTTTGGTTCATCTAAAGCTTCGATGTTAAAGTCAATGAGTCTATTGCCTGTCTTAACATTCCTCTTCCTATTCTCTTCATCTTTCTTTAACCATCTCTCACCTTCTTTTGGTTTGTCGTCAATGGAACGAATGACATCGTTAGCTTTGCGAACTTGTTCTATAGCACTTTTAAACATCTCTCTTCTCTGTTGTTTCAGTGTGTCGTCTCTTCTTCTTTTTCACCAACGTTTGCATTTGTTATGTCAAACATCTCACGCCTTACTTCATGAGAAAGAGCTTTACGAGTATGACCAACGTTCGCATTTGTTATGTCAAACATCTCACGCCTTACTTCATGAGGTATTGAACGTCTATGATATAAGTCAATAGCAACGTCATTTAAAGGAAATGCTCTTGCATTTATGAACTCATGAATTCTATCATAAGTTATTTCACCATTGTAGTCATTGAGAATGTCAGCGAGTGCTTTTTTGTTTGTCGCGTAATGTTTTGCAACTTCTATGTTAGCTTCTGTTAGAAGTTGTTTTATTTCCGAGTGTTCTAACTTAGACAACTTCCGATACATCTTTAGTAGGAAATAAAAAATATTTTTTGAAAAAATTAGATTAGATTTTTTAAAGTTATTTTTCAAAATAATTTAATATTTTTATTTTAATGAAACACATGCAAGATTGCAAGTTCTTTTCATACAATGCTCTCGCTACTGTCATCAAGAATGAGTTCAATGGTGCTTCAAACGTTAATGTTATCTTTAACAAGAAGTTTGTGAAAGAATCTAAGTTTGGTCAGTATGTCAGACCATTAGCTATTGTCATTGACCGCAAACGTTATACTTCACAAGAGTTAGCAGTAGTTTTGAAACAAAAGGTTTCTTCGTGAATGTCAAAGATACTCATTATACTGTCATAAAGAACTCTAACATTGACTTCTTCAGTATTGCTATGAATCTTTCCGAACAGAAAGAATATAAGAAGGGTGAAACAAATGTGAAATATTATCCTTCATCTCTGAAGACAATAACGAACAAAGATGTTATACAGAAATTCTTACCAAAGGTTGAAGAAGCTTCTATTGACATTGACGAAGGAAGTGAAATGGTTGAAGAAATAGACCCTGAAGCTATTTAAGCAAAAATATATTTTTGAATAACTGATGGTGTCACCACGTCACCATGTCACCAGGTTAATTAACTTCTCTGAAAAATGATGACAACATGACATTTTGACAATACAGCAGGATTAATGCAAAAATGAATGTTATCGTTAATGTTATCGTTTATGTTATCGTTAATGTTATCAGTGTCGAACATAATTGACATGGAGCATTTATGTTATCGTTAATGTTATCGTTATGTTATCGTAATGTTATCGTTAATGTTATCGTTAATGTTATCAATGTGTCGAACATAATTGACGTAGGATTCATGACTTCTTCGTAAATGAGTGTAAATATAGCACAAAAATATATTTTAGGTGAAGAGGTGAGATCTCACCCGTTTTTCACCTCTTTTTTCACCTCATTCTCTCTTCGTTAATGTTGTCGTGACTTCATCGTTAATGTTGTCGTGACTTCATTCTTCCTCTTTGAAGTTATCGAAATATTCTGTTATTTTTTCCTTCAGTAATGTTAAGTCTTCTTTGAATGTAAGTATTGTGCAACCTTTGATGTCATAGTGTGTTTGAGGAAGAGTATTTTTGACAATTTCCTTTATTTGCTCATTCGGTGTCATTGAAATCGGTAAGTTTTCACGATAGAACCAGTTTCTGTCAGATTTATATATTTTAGCTAAGTCATAAAAGCTCTTGTTGTTTCTTCTGACTAAATGCAACATAACCATATCTTTATCTTCTTCTTTCTCCAATTCTTCAGTATATATCATATACCTATAACTCTTTTCCTTTCCTTTTGGTACTGAACGTGGTATTCTTTTCTGTATGCTTTTGTCTTTGGATTCAATGACTTCATCTTTTGCTTTATATAGTTCATCTAACATCATGAAAATATAACAAGCATAACGAGGTGAAGCCCACATTGCTACAGCGTTTACTAAAAGTCTATGAACATAATAACCTTTCAAACAAGGAGCCAAATTCTTGCGATTTTCATACGGAATCTCTTCATTCTGCAAAGCAATCATATGAGGAAATTCTTCTAAAAGTTCTTTTGTCTGTTGGTTTTCAAACCAATGATATGCTTGCTTTGTAGAACGAAGAGCATTCATTATACTTTGCATTTGGTACATATCGTCTTTGACTGAACGAATGAGACGTAACTGTTTGTTATACTGTATGTACTCGTATTCTTCATTTATGGCTTCATGAACGATAGCAGTTGTTGTGTTCTCTGATGTTGACATTACTGTCTTTACAACAAGATAAAAATTTTTGTTAGGAAAAAATTAGCGTTATTTTCTGACTTTCACAAAAGACAAAAATAAACGCTTTACATGTATTTTTCAGCAACTTCGTCAAATAATTTTATAGCTTTATCTATCTCATCTACTTCAAACGTTTCTTTACCTTTTATGGGAGCACCATACATTTTCTCAAACTTTTCGAGTAGTTCTGTTTCTGCGGCTCTCATATCATTAACGAACACAACCTTGACTCTATTGACTGTACTGTCATATCTTTGAGTTATATTATATGTTCTTCCTATCTTATATCTCTTTGTATTGAAGTCCTTCGGTTCTGAACGATGTAAAGTAAGCCTTCACTGCAACGTTCCGTATCGAATGAACCATAAGTTATGAAGTTATATCCAACAACAGGGTCAATCCACAGAAGAATTATTGGTATAAGACTTTTGTCAATGAGATATGCTGTAGTTCCATAGAATCTTACCGATATCATGAGCTCAGGATTTCTTGTCAAAATTTTCTGAGTAGAAGCAATTCTAACCCAGTCCTTTGTTTTCTTTCCAGAACGTGTTATAATGTCTGACAAAGAATATTTGTTGTATTTCTTACAGTATCTTACGTTAAATCACCAATTCTAACCACTTTGGTGTCATTGTCAATCTTTCTTACTGTTTCAAACTCAATGTTTGACATTACTGTCTTTACATACAAGATAAAAAATAAATAAAAAAAAACTAACTTTATTTTTATCTTTTATGAAAATTCATGAAATTTGGTCATTTTCAGCAAAAATAATGTTTAGGTGAATAGGTGAGATCTCACCCGTTTTCTCACCTGTTTTTTCACAAGCGTTTTACATGAATTGTACGATGTATATTGAAATCCTAAACAATTTCGTAGCTTCTATTTCTTCTTTTAGTACATCGAATGTTTTAATCATGCCGAAAGTCTCTTTATATTTCTTCTTGACGTCAGACAGAAGGAAATCTTCTGCTGTTGAATAGTTTTTATTAAGAAATGTTAACATATCCATTTTATCTTCTGCTGGCTTTTCTGTTTCTTTCTTTAAGTCTGCATAGTCGTTTCGCATTCTTTCTACTCTTTGACTGAGTAGTTATATTTTCTTATTGCTGCTTTACATTTTGAACATTGCGGCATCATTTTTGCGTTATACATTGAAATAAAACCAGCTAGAACAACTAAGGCGTCAATGGTTTTCTTTAACTCAAAAGCTGCTGGTTTTATCTGTTCATTCCATACCTTACCTCTTCTATCTTTATCTCTTATCTGCCATACACATTTTGCAACTAATGAAACAAAGTTGTCGTATGTCTTAAATTCTTCGGATTTGTAAAGGTCAGAAATATTTTTATAAACCATGTCGCAATCTTTGTCCATAACTTTATGGTTACAATGATATCCTAGAAACTCATAGTTTACCTTTCGTATGAACTTCTTTATTTCTACCGAGTCAGTTGCTTTGACTTCAATTTCGTCAAATTCGGGAATGGTTAGTTTTTGTTGCTGAATTTCAGGTAGTTTAGGTAAATGGTCGATGAGGTCCTGCATGTCATAAAGATATTCTTCATTTTCTTCATCCTGTGCGGTACAGTCTAAATTACTTGTTAACAGTTCTTGCTTTATCTTTGGATTTTTGTTTCGAAAGTATATGAAGAAGGAATGAAGTTTTTCATCTCTACCAACATTGACGTAGGATTCATGACTAGCGAGTTTGGTGCTGTTTGTGGCTTGAATTGTTGTTGTGCCGATTGTTGAAATCATATCTTTTATACAAAATAAAAAAAAATAAATAAAAATAAAACTAACTTTATTTTTTCTATCTTAAGGAAATTCATGAATTTTCATGAGGGTGAAAAAAGAGGTGAAAAAACGGGTGAGATCTCACCACTTCACCTAAATTTATTTTTGGTGTAAATTTATGATAAAAATAAATGGTACCATTAATGATATCATGACTGTTCTCATTCATGTCTGATTTACATCTAATGAAAAAGTTTAGAAGAATTTTCTTATTCTTTCCGGCTTATTTTTGTCTTTCCAGTACTCCCGCTCTAATGGTCCCAGATGTGTTGACTTTGACTCTCTCAAGTTCTTAGATGGTATAACATCTTCAACGCCTCCTTCATATCTTACTTTATAAGTGTCATCGTTTATGTTATAGCCAAGTATTTCAATAACCACTCCTCGCTTTGCTTCGTCAATGGTTTCAGCAAGTTTGCCATTACTACTTTCAACTAATTTATGTCGAGGGTAAAACGCAATAGAGTCGTCAGCAGCTTTTATAAGATATCCATTACCTTGCGTAGAGTCTACGATATAATAGTTTCTACTTAACCTTAAACGTTTCTTTGTCAACGGTTTGTCGTCAAGAACTACACGAACTTTTGTACCAGGAATGAGGGTAAATTGTGTTGAATTTCTGATATTTTGTGTTTGGCTTCGTTTCTTTTGTATATACTTTTCTTCTTGTTGTTGTGTCATTGAATTTGGTGTATGTCCTGTTGTAGAATTGTGTTGAGGAATTATATACTTCGAGAAAATGTTTCATTGTTTCTTCGGTAAAGTCTCGCTCTTGATTTAAATCTCTGAGCGTTCTTATGAAGCGGTTTATGATGCCAAGTATGTTATGGTTATGGTCTTCAGTAGTGTAGTGAGTTATGTTATGCTTAATGAGAAAATCTGTGATTTCATTGCTGAGGTATGCACTGTCTTGGTCTGATGTTAAAGTACTTGGGCTATGTTCTGCTACAAACTTTTGTAAAACTCTTAACACTTCACGAGTTCCTTTATTTTTCATTATATACGCAAAAGCTTTACGAGTGTTAACATTAATGAAGATGAGGAATGGTTTATGTCCTCCTTTTCTGCTTTGAATGAGAGTGTCAAATTGGTATGCGTCAGGAGTGTTGGAGTAAATTGGTAAAAAGTAGTCGTAAGGATTTATTTTTGTTTGATGTACAACATTTTTGTCAAAGAACTTTTTAACTTCAGCTCTGTTAGTAAATCCCGAACTCTTTGCAGCTTCATTGAACTTCTTAAATGACCTCCATGGATGTTGTTCGAATACTTCTTTCAAGCTCATTTATGTAAAGTTAAAGATTTCATTGAACGCGGTAAGCCTAGATCCTTTGAGTCAAGGCTCAAGTGTGTTTATTGAACGCGGTACCATGCGAATATAGTCACAAATGGTGGCATATAATCTGCACCCGAGCCTGTTGGATTTGTTGTGAAAGTGTGTGAATGATTTCCTCCTGGTTCAGTTGGTCGAAAAGTCTTTTTTGCCGAATGGTTATAATCTGGAGATAAAACGTCATTGCCAGCACAATATTCTGAGTTGTATAATGGATGGTCTCTTAATGAGTGACTATGGTCACCAGAAAAGTTTGTAGTTCCTGTATGAGTGTGCGGTGGAAGGTTTGCTTCTTTAATTTTCTTCGAACCACCTGTTTGATTTGAAGAGTTAGCAGAGTATAAGAATTTGTCTACAATCTGCTGCCATGTACCAAAACCCAGAACTGTTGCTGGATTTGTTGAGTTCATTGATGTATAAATAGAACCAACAGGATATAATGTTCGAAGTATTTCAGTCTTTAATGTTTGAAGCTCTGTTTTGTCAGCTTTCTTATCTAACATTGCTGGTAGTTCGTATGCTTCAAAGTTTCTGGCATGATCTTCGATATTCCTGCAACTCTTATCTAAATTGTTAAGAGTATCTTTTACGCTTGTACTCGGATTCTCTAAAGGTGCATTTGAACCCAAATCATAGTTCAATATTATGTCGTCTGCTCTAACAGTAGTGAAGGATTTATGTGTATGTTCTTTGTCAGCTTTACTATTTAATGTAGCTTGAAGTTAATTTATATCGGAGATATTGTGTTTATGAGATTTCAAAACTTTGTTCATTGCTTCGAGTTCAACTTTGTCAGCTTTACTTTTAATAGCATCTTCAAACGTTATTTTTGACTTAACTCTCAAAGTAAATCTTGGTTCAACTAATACACCTTTAACAGAGAAAGTAGAGGCATAAATTTCATCGTTATAACTAAATGCTTCTGGTGCTTTACCCGTGTCATACTGTACAGTACAGCTTATGTCATAACCTTTAGCACGAATGTATTTATATCTTCTTTCATTGGGGTCTTCCGTCTTCACTTCATCACTTCGTGTTAAATATCCATGGTAGTCTGTTATAATCTGTTCGTCTGAACTTATATAATGAACATGGTTTTTATCTGCCTTACTATCTAATTTCTCTTCTATCTCATTCACTTCTAATTCAACTCTTCCGCCAGAACTCTTATTATCATTAATCTTTTTCATTAATTCGGTAATTACGTCATAAAGACTATATTCTGTTTTCGGTTTTGTAAATAATGAGTCAAAATTTTCTTTTCATCATTACATCGCTGACATTAATGATATCGCCAATTCCTTCATTTATTCTCTTCATTATTCTGCAATAATGACGAATATATAATCTGTTAATTTATTCTCTTCATCGAGGGTTATAGAATGTTTTGAAATTGAATCATTAACTCCTCTAAATAAATCAATAACTTCAGGATACACGTTTTTAATGTCTCGAATAACCCGACCAGTATCCTGTTGTTCATGTTCTTCGTTCCCCAGTCGTTACGTGGTTTATATCTCTAACCATCATCAACGCAGCCATAACGGAGGGTTTGTTGCTATCTGTTCGAAAATCCGTCGTTATGTACGGTATATCTAAATAATTTCTTTGTGTTTGTTAAAACATTTGAAACAAGTCTTTTAAAACCATCTACAAAATTTCCTGTTTCACCTAATGTTCTTGCAGCATTTACAAGCTCACCCATTCCCGCTTTTGACCCCAAAACGTCCATATTGCATTTATTTCACTCTGTATAGTTGTCCATTCAGCGAAACTAACACCCGCATTCGCTAAGCTGAAAATGAAATTCAGTGGATCGAACTTAATTCCACCTTCTTTTTTCAATTTCAACGAACTCACTAACATGAGATTTTAAATATTCTTTCGTTAAAATTGTTTTCCCCGATGTTATGTCATTAACGAAACTATCACCGTCAAAAGTTAACGAATTCAATTTCGTCGTTGATGCTTTATTTCATACACCGCTTTATCGATAGTTTTTGGCTCACCTTCTTTAGAAGCATATGAAACATTAATGAAGAATTATATGTATTCATGAATGAATTAAAATCAATGATTTTCATTAATGACGCCTTAATGATTCATTTACTGTCGAATCCCTTAAAGTAATTAATGAACTGTCATTTATGAAAGGTACACTGCAAACCGTCGAGTTTGGATCAAATGCTATAGTTGGTGCAGGATATATTAATGATATAAGTCATTAAATCATTAAGTGACGTAAATAATGTTGTCGTTTTGATTTAATTTCTTTAGCATCTGTTATATATGGTAATTTTATTTCTGTAGTTTCTGAATTAAAGATATTCGCTAAAATGTTTTGTAAACTGTTTTGAACAGCTGTGTAAACCGTTGAATCCGGAACTCTTATGATTTCACCGTCCTTAATAAAAGGCATTGCACATGGTGTAGTGCTTGGGTCAAATCTTTTTGGGTTATGATTCAACATATATTCTAATGCTTCATAAACAGACCTATATACGGTTGTGTCGTTCTTCATGACAACTTCACCATTTACAATGAATGGCATAGTGCATGGAGTTAAAATAGGGTCAAACTTTTCATAGTCCTTCCATGTTATGTATTTCTCAGTATTTCCATCAGAAATAACAATATATTTGTCAAAGTGTGAAGAGTATTGACCAAAATATAAACGTTTAGCTCTGTCAGCTTCATACGCATATGCAGCTATACTCATATTTTAATGAGAATAAAATGTTGTTCTATTTGCAAAGTACAGACCCGAACGAATACGGAACAGTAAAACTACAAACAAACTTAGGTCTACAGAATGAGCCACTTGCATTCAGAATGGTTGACTTTAATACTATTGCTTCATTCGTTATAACTGACGAAACAGATTTCATGGAGCTTGAAATAGATGGAAAGAAGCATGAAATAAGATTTCACAATAATGTAGAATATAAGATGGAAACATTAGCTGGAGTGTTAAATGCTCTCATAAATACTACAATAAACAAGGATAACGAAGAAAACTTAATGAATGTTAAACTTATTGCAGGAGTTTTGAAGTTCAGTTATGCGAAGGAGTTTAAGATAACACGAATGAGTCATAGAGTACAACTTTTTTTGGGTGCATACCATATGACATTTCCTTTGAAAAGTGTTGACAAAACGATTGAGATGAAATCTGTTCCATACGTATGTTATGGTAATTGTTTATACATTGAGTCTAAAATAGCTAATGTCACAGGTATTTCAGGAGTTAATAGTAAAGGTTCAGTAGAATATAAGTCTTTCTGTTATGCAGTCAATTCAATGTTCATTCCAAACGTTCCTGTCATAGCAACTCATTTAGGTAAATGGGTTCGCATTAGTCCTCATAATTTGAAAGACATGCAATTCAGACTTGTTGACTTTCAAGGAGAGCCTGTAGAACTGAAGGCACCAGCGCGAATGACTGTTGAAGTTGACTTTTAGAAAAATATTAAATGCAACGGCTTACAAGAGAACTCAGAGCTAAAAATATAAAGTATGAATGTTATGTATTAGGTCATGAACTTTGGTTGTTGCTGTTTGATGAAACAAATGAATTAGTTATGTCAGTCAAGAGAACAGAAAATATTGTGTTAGTGAAAACTGCACCAAGTCAATAAGATTAGGTTTGCATTATGAAGATGAGTTCGATACTGTTGAAGAAGTTTTGGATAGATATATTACAAATTGCTAACTTTGAAATTTTTTTGACTGACGGCGCAAAGCGCCAAGATGGCTCAAAGAGCCCTCCTGACTGCTTTAATTTACTAAAACATATTTCAAACAAAGTTATATTCTGTTGAAAGTTTTGTATATTCATTCGAATATTTATACTTAAACTCACTCTGGAGTACCTGGTGTTTCAATGATGCGGATGTTACCTATTTTTCATGAATATTGGCGTTTGACCACAGCATTCGATTTCAGGGTCGAGATAGTCAATGACACATTGTTTCCCTGTTATTCGTGATATAACATTTTCAAGGTCCTCCTTTGTTAGAATTATTTGGTTCTTACTTATAAGATTTATCAAAAGCTTCTTATCGTCTTTGAGTAAAATTGTTTGGTATAACTGAAGAAGGTAATGGTCTACGTTATCTGAAGGATTTGTTTGAACATTTATGTAAGGGTTGTCGTTGGCTTCTCTTGAAAGAATTTGGTCCAGTGGTGGATACTCTAACTTAACATCTGATGTAGCGTTAGCGTTTGAAGCTGTGTTTAAATTCACGGATTTCAGCTCTGGTTCTTTTCTTTCAAACACTCTGGACTATAGTTCTTTATGACAATATTGTTTGTCGTTCGTGAGTCAACATTTGATGTTGGTTCAATTGGAACATTAACAGCACCAGCTAAGATGGATTTGCTTCTCATTTCATATAGAATAAAAAACCTTTTATATGTATGAAATGAACAATATACTCGACAAGGGTTTGAATGTAAAGCTAACGAATGAAAATATTGTTGAATTCACTGAGACAGGAGCTGTGTATAAAGATGTAGAACTACTGAAAAAGAGCAAAGGGAAGAAGCAGGAATATGAACAAAGGGTGGAAGCCTATAAAAATTTATGTCAATGATGGCTCAGGAGGTTCAAACATAAAGTATGCAGAAAGTTATAGAGTTTATGCGCTAAAAGGTGAAAAGCCTTCATTTAAGAACAGCTATTCTAACCCATATCCTCAAAAGCTAACGGATGGGGAAGTGGATGATATGAATGACAGCAAAAATATTAACAGAAATGGCGACAGAGATGCATGGAATTTGTTTACCATCAGTCAATTGAAGGTTAAACTTTAAAACAATGTTGGTCGTTCCCATGGAATATTTTTGACTTTAATGGTATTAGTCATGATATGAATCTCAAGGTATGAACGAGGAGAGATGAGAGACTTATATGCTTCCCAAATTTCTTCAAAAGGTAATGTTATACCTGACTGTTTCCAAATGAGTTCAATATCATAACGTGAGAAACCTTGAAGATAACGAAGTCAGTTATGAGACGTTTTATGTTTAAAGCAAGAAAACGCCATGTTTGCATAAGTATTGCTACAGTTAAATGGTAATGTCTGACTTTAGTTATGATGTTAGCTAATGGTGAGTCAGGCTTTGACACTAAACCTTTTCCGGCGAAGTCGTCACAAACGAGCAGAGTGTTTGAAGGATACTTTTTGAAGGGGTATTTTGAAAGTTTTGATAGAATGTAGTTTGTCAGTCGTTTCATATCGTAAACTCCTGAGTACTGACGTAAGTGGTGTTTGTCAATAATTCTTTCCATCTCTTCTGAAGTCTTTTGCATTCCTGACTGTATGAACTCTACAATAGCATAATATTTTCGCTTACGTCGAATGTAACGTTGAAGAAATTCAATGAGTTCGCTATCTGGAACTTTAACGACAGATGCTTGAACTTTACTCATGAATGTTTTCGCTGTTGAATCCATAGAGTCTGAAGTTGCTGATATAATGATTTGGTCATAGTAAGAGTCGTTTCCTAAACGCTTGTTATGAGTATATGACGAATGAGGTTAAATGTCTTACCTGAACCCATCTTTCCACAATAGAAATACATACCATTTGAACAGAATTCATAATCTTTGCTGAAAGGAAGAATAAGAGAAGAGTTAAGTTTGTCTGTAGTTTCATTCATGTCTTCATCTACGTCATGTATTAAATGCTTCATTTTATCTCCATTAAAAATGCAAGTCAGAAATATTCAGAACATAGCACCGAGTCTAACTGACAAGAATATAAAGATATACTATGAACACGTTATGATGAAACCAACCAAAATTCAAGAAAGTCAGTATACTTATGAATATCCAAGACACTGGTAGAGTATGTAGGAGGTGAGAAAGCTATTGAAATCAGACAGGTTCGAAGTATTCCAGCAGGAAGGACAATATTATTGAAGAACTTTAATGTTTTGAGATATAATGATGAACAAAGAAGCAAGATAGTTTCCCTGTTGCTGTGTATGTGAACTTAGATACAGGAGATGACATGAAAGTTTTTAACACAAAGCTTCAAACGGTATTGAAAGAACAACTTATAGCAGAAGGGCATCCATTACCTTCAGAAGTTACCATAGCATATAATTTTAAAACAAATTTTAAAGATTTTAAAATCGTCTCTGCAAAGAAAGTCAGGTTTTACATTTAATGAAGCAGATATGT